TAATTCTCCAGGGAAATCTCTTTAGTGGGATAGAAAGGAATCTTTTCAGCTTCCCAGATACATGCACTGTTCCCAGTACCATCAGGCTTAAAGGAGGACCTGCAATACCTTGGGCTGAAGAACACAGTTGCATTGTAACTGTGAAGTTTAGCATAGATAAATAACTCCTGTGATCCAGCTGCTCAAGCTTTCAGGATCTGACATGTTTATTAATGAAAATGTGACAGAAAAGAAAGAAACAGTCAGCTATGCAAGGTGCCCCTGTAACTCTGCTGTCATCATTAGGTGAATATGGCATACTAAATATTTATGCTTCTATGATTCAGGATCACAGAAAATACATATCTCTTTTATGTGCTTTATTTCCTTTGGAGAAGGGAGTAGAGGAGAGGGTGAGTCATAGTGGAAGAATAAAATTCACTTATTTTCTGACAAAAGCTACTCTCCCCTCACTGAAGAAGGATCCTAGCTTTAGCTTCTGCTTGCTGATAACCCCTGCAGACTAACTGGTTTCAAGCAGGAAGCTGACAGCCTGCCAGTCCCCAGTCTATACCTGTCCGGTGACCTATGGCCAGAAGCCAAATCATACCATGCTGTGTGTAAGATAATAACTGTTCTTACCTAGGTCTGAGTGCAGGCTGGCTATCTACCCTTGCAAACCATTTCTGATGAGCAGAGTTTTGACCCTTCACACCGTAACAAATCCCGCCAGCTGCAGTCTGACTTCTGAGCATAGGGTTGGTCTGAGGAATTTGGGAAGGTTAACATGAATATCTATTAGTGTATGACCAATGCTAGTTGTATGCCATATTTTTTATTATTTTTTTAAAAACATTTTTTCTGTTATGATCTGATTCAGAGGATTCTGTTCTTTAGCAATTCAGAAGGGAAGTGCTGTGGTTATTGAGCTCGTGAGGAGGCAGTTGATGGATGATAATCTCTTTTGCACACCTTGCAAAGCTCTCCAGATTGTAGATGAGATGGAAAACGAGCAAGATACAGGGTCTGATGCTACTCTACTCCCAGGGAGTAGAGAAGTGTCAGGAGCTGTTCAACCATTCTTAATCTCCTGAAGTAGGAGAAGCCTATGTATGAGGGAGACATGAGCCTTGTGTTGCTTTTAGGTTAAGAAAAGGGATGAGTCTAGTGCTTTGTGTAGGCTTTCTTTACAGCTGCCTACCTCAAAATGGTTTTCTATGGACAGATATTCAGGAGTAATGAGGAGGATGAAGCTTGAAAGGTGGCAAATGCCAAAGGTTTTTATTTCTGTCCTGGTGACATTTAGTCCATATTTAAATATTTATCTATATTTATTTATCTATTCGTTTATTTATTATTTTATTAATTTAATTATTAAATCATCATTATATATAAATAATTATAATTGTACAGTTTACATTTAATTATTAAATTATAAATATTAAAATTTATTGATTTCTTATTAATTGCTTATCTATCTATTTATTTGTCCTTGACAAAGGTTTGAGTGGTCCTTTCTATATGAAGTACAAAACAAAATGCGATGTTTTCCAGAGGCATTAATCTGCTTTTTTCTAGGCAGAGATCTCATATTGGTTAATTAGCAACCTTAAATGCCTGCTGGCTTATGTAGAGGAAGACTGCAGTAGAGATTTAAAGACTAGATGCTTATATGGTCCTTTCTACAATTGAGAGACTTAGAGCTGTTGTCTTTTTCAAAGGCCAAATAGCAGGTTGCTGTGTGAAGGACCACAAATATCATGAGATGTTTTAGTTGAAGAACCAAGCTTGCTACTCTATTAAACAGATTACATTTTCCATATTGTGTTTTTAAAGAAAGTGCTTAGAGTTTCTTTTTATTATTAAATCAAGAACAGCACATCCCTCGCTGTTTGGAGGATAAAAGAGAGACAAGGAGGACATGGGTCTTATGGGCACAGAGATTAGCTCTTTTAGTATGTTATATGCAAAATAGCAGCCGTAAATTTTTGTCATAATTTGTGAGATAGTATTATATCAAAAGTAAGGTGTCGTTTTTCTGGTAAAATTTAGCAGACACTTCTGTGTACATTTTTAAAAGATTTTCTTTTTTTTTTTTTTTCAGAAAAAAAAATCCTCTTAGGTCTTATTTTAGTTGCATAAATTAAGGTAAACAGTAACAGAACAATGAGTTCTGAATGCCACCTATGGTTGTTATCCTTATAACCTTCTCCTTCCTTTAGTTGAGATCCCTGTATAGCTCTTCTGTATGAATTTATCTATATGCTACTATTTACTGTTTGCTACTGTTAAAGATATCATTAATAATTATGCATGATGCATAGTGTGAAAGACCTGTCTTTCAGTATTTAAAAGTATTTTTGAAAGAAAGTATTTTTTCTAATAATGAGATTAAGGGTCAAATGCTTTGTTTTGCCCAAGTTATTAAAAAAATGTGCTGACATATTTGTGCTTTGGAGCAAGGCCTTAAAATGTGGTAGATATGTTGTAGATTTTCCCAATATCCAAAGTATTCAGCTTTCAAAAATCTCATTCTGCTTGAGCTTGGTAAACTTTCTTAGTGCAACTTGAGTTTCTAAAGATGCTGTTAGTTCTGAACGCACTTCACGCTCTAACACCCCTGAGCATTGTCTATGCTGCACTTATGGTGCTGCCACTTTTTTTGACATCAAGAAGAACAGAGCCTGACTTGAATTGAGGAAATGTGAATGGAGAGGAGGAGGGCAAAAGCTCAAGTGGCTGCAGATAGGGAGGGTTCTCCACAGGATCCCTCCTTCTTTCAGTGCATAAGATATATGGTGCTATGGAGACAGATCAAGATTGCATATCAGCCACAGTCCTCATCAGTAATCAGGATTCTTGCCACATGTGTTGCAGACTTGGGGGAGTTTGGGAAGTATGTGTTGCTTCAGACAGTGAACGTATAATTAGAGTATCAGAAGGTATGTACATAAGAAAGATAAGATGTGGTTGCATAGGAGATCTCTTTCCTGATATTGTTCCCTAACTATGGGGAGGTTAACCTGCAGAAATGTTCAGTCAGTGTAGTGTCTAATGTAATTATTCATCTGTGTACAGTGCGTGTTATATAGTTATACATCATAGAAATATAGAAAAAAAGACCTAGAAGAGATGTAATCTGACCTTCTGTCTCAAGGCCATATCAGCTTGAGCCTGCGGCAAGCATTATGGATATTTATTTTACTTGTTATTAAAAACTTTAAATAGATCAAGACTTTCACTTTTCTTGAACAGTTCATTTAAATTATTATCTACCTTTACCATTTAAAAGCTTTTTCCAGTGCCTGAAATACAGCTTTCCTGCTGCAATTGCTTCATGTCTGATCCATGCTATAAATGCAGAGCAGGTTCTTTCCACTTGCAACAGCCATTTACATATTTGTGGACTTTTATCACAGTTACTCTGTTCTGTGAGTCAAATAATTGTATTATTTTTCCACTTAGGTCACATTTTTTTATTATTATTTTTTTCTTTCCTGTTGTTCTCAGATTGGGCTAGATCCTTTCTGAAGCGCAATACTTGATACTGGAATCCACACTTCAGTACAGGCCTAACGATGACATGTTAAAAAGGGGATATGTTACAAATTATGCTATTTTGTCTGTAGACATTCTTGGTCCAACCTCACTTAAATTATCAAAAATGTGAAATTGCCTCTGTCATTTATTTTCTAACATAAAATTATATACATTGAAATTCTGTATGACCTGTAAGAAATTTTTACTTAATTGAATTCTTTTCTCTAACAAGTAAAAAGACCACCTTCCTAATATTAAAAATAACTGAGGAAATCAGAACAAAATAAAGTTCTTAAAATATAGAACAAAGAAACACTGAAAGCAAAATAAAAAAATGATAATAATTTATTATCAACACGCTTTTTTCACACACACAAAAAACGTACTTTTTGACAAAAACATGATACTTTTGGCCTAAATTGATTAAATAATTAGCCTAAATGATTTGGCCTAAATGATTAAATATTAAGCTAAATAAACACATGGTATGATGCATATGCAAAATTGACCTGCAGATTTTGAGCTGTGTAGACTGATTGTGTTTTCCTTGTTTCAATTAGAGAATTTATTAGTAGATTTGTCTTTTAATGCTAGTGATATCCCCCTGAATTAAGACAGATGTTAGAGGCTCACCATCCGTCACACTAGGTGCAAAAGCTGTCCTTATGCCTTTCCTTCAGATAGTCAGCCTGAAAGAGGTGCCTCCATGAATACGGAACGTAAGGTTTTATCTTCTCCTTCGACTAAAACAAAGTGAATCCCTACTGAAGTTTGTCAAGGAAGGGGTTAAAAAAGTGGAATCTTTGTAACTATGAGGGGCTGAATTATCTTCCTGACACCAGCAGGGGTTGCTGTCACTGGTTTGTGGTTGTCACATTCCTGTTATGCTTGACCTTGGAAAGGCTTGACAACATAGTCTGGGTTTGATTAAGGGAATTTCATGTTTTTCCTTTGCTAGAGTCACCCCCCACCTCGACAAACATTTAAAAATGTTAAGAAAGAAAAAAAAAAAAAAAAGTTTGGAAAGCAAACATTTTCCCAAAAGAAATTTATAGTTCAAATTTACACCAAGTTCGCACTAACTGGAGCAGTCCGGGTTTCCACTCAGGCTTTGAGTGCGCTCTGTAAACCATTAGTCACTTCCCTGGAAGAGGCAGCTTTTTATAGGCAGCAGAATAAAACAGGCACAGATGTGTGTGTAATGTTAGAGGCTTTCACATGTACCTGCCTTTCCCCTGCCCTCCCCTCCCCCCCATTCCCCCGCCCCCCCAGATAGTAGAAAAGGAAAAAAGAATGGCTAAAGAAAAAAATAATATTTTTTCTTCAGACTTCATTTGGTTTTGGATTGCCATGATGAAGATTGGCTTAATTAAAAGAAAATATGTTTTTGATGTACAAAACCTTGTTGTGTTGTGGATTTTTGAATTTGTAGTTCTTTTAATTTTTAACCAATTGTTTGTTCTTTTTTTTTCACTTTACAGGACTGTGATCATGCCAGCTGCCAATGAGTTTAATCCAGAGATTGTCTTGGTATCAGCAGGATTTGATGCCGTGGAAGGCCACGACTCTCCACTGGGCGGGTATAAAGTCACAGCAAAATGTAGGTACAGTCACAAGGTGCACATTTCTGAATCAGTACTTCTTCTCTTTGGGAACCTAATCTGAAGTCCATGTTATGTCCATAGTTCTATTTTGTGAGATTACAAATGTGTAACAGAGGGCAGGGACTGAGTGGAAATGAACATGTTAGCATTTCTGGCTCACTCCTTTCTGTTCCTTTTGGCATTTTTGTCTCAGCTTTTTAAAGTATTACTTTTCTGGCATTCAAATAACATTTTAGAGGTTTCATGCTTTTCAATAGGCCCCATTTTCCAAATGCTGGAGTAAGTTATTTCTCTTTAAATATATATTGGAGATTTTAAGCATTGGCGGCCTAAGTCCAATCTCATATTGCTGTTTTGTTATTGTAATCTTTTCAGCTTGATGGCATTAATCCTGAATTACATCAGTGTTCATGAAGGCCAAAGTTTTCTAAAAGACTACTCTGTTGGGTCTCAATGTTTGGATGTCCATTTCAGTCCTCCAAAAAGTGTGTTCAGGGCAGGGTTTTAGTACTTTCTTAAAGACGGGTCTAACTGACTGGTCTCATATCTAGCACTCCAAAGTCACTAGCTCTTACTGAATTCTGTGGCCAAAATGATCCCGAACCTGAGACAGTAAGCATGGGTGAGTAATGTAATAATGTTCTGTACAGTGATGTGCAGTGTAACATTGCTATATATAAATCAGCTTCCGTGAGGCAACGCAAAATGGTTTCCTAATGCAGTGCTGTGAATAATTTTCTTCAGTATATACAATTTTTTCAGTATATCTCAAGAAATACCATATTAACATTTGATTAGTTATTAGATATTGATCCCCCTTGCTAATCATAAATTCCTTGGGAAAAGCCTGGAGAAGTCTATGAGATTTAAAGGCATTTAACATGCTGCACAAATGAACCTCAGCTCAGAGAGAATTTGTCCATCAGTCCCTCTGCCTTTTGTTTCAGGTGAGTTCACTGGAGTTGGTATTTACCTTAGGAAGAGCAAGGAAGTGACAAAGGAAGAGACACTTTTTTTTTTTTTTTTTCAATTAAACTAAGCAATGTACAGGTCCTCCTGAATATCAAACACAAAAGAACAGGTGAAGAGGTAGACTGACTCTTTACAGTGGCGTGCCGTGAAAATTCAGTATGCAGAAGCCAGTGCAAGGAGTGCAAGGGCCTTCTGAACATACTCACACAGGTGTTAATTTACAACTGGGTTGGAAAGGGAACATCCCTGTGACCGCATGTAAGATGTATCGAGATTTTGCAGTTTTTAAGCTTAATGCAGTGTCTGCATTAGAAAAGAAAGGGTTGTAGTGTCCTGTAAGCACGTTTGAGTATGACTTAATGGTGCATTATGAGTTTTAGTAAAATGTGTGTGAAAAAGCCCTTTGAAAAAAGTTTACTCATCATTTATTTATTTTTCTGAAGCATGGATACTGGTCAGAGGCATTATTTCATGAGCATAAGTGATAGGCCGATGAGCTTCCAAGTGATACAATAAAGTTATTTTTAGAGAAGCATGGATAGTTATCTGAATATAACTGCTGAAAATGCATGCTAAATGTCCCTTAAGCATCCATGATGCTCCAGCATGATACTCTGGCAAACATGCGTGCACACAAGATATTCTGGCATAGCAGCTTCAAAAACTTTCATATCAATTGCAATAAGATTCATATTTTCCTCTCAGAATAGACTGAATTTCACCCAACAACAAGAAAAAGTGTTTGATATTAAAATCAAAGCTAATTTTCATTCATGAAAGAATTAATGAACTCTTCACAACTTTTAGACACAAATCACAGTACATTTTTTAATATAAGAGGCTGCATATCCATAAGTTAAACATGTGTGTGAGAAAAAAAAAAAAAAAAGTCATTTACAGTAGGTGCCTCTTGTTTAAATTAAGAGAAACGCCAAGATAGACCTAGATAATGATCATGCACCTGAGGGATGAATAAAATCTTTTGTATAGAGCCAAAGGAATTTATTATTTCCCCCAAACAAAATTCTCCACGTTCCACCATACCTTTTTAGAGCATAACATGCTATATGTGGTATGTTGAAAAATGAAGTCTATAAAAAATAAATCATTTAAAGTCCAAAGAGAAACATTCATGTTAAAGTCTACAAATAGATATTCATGATTTTTTAGAATAATAGGTTTGTAAGAATTATAAATTATTCCAAAAGAAGTAAATATAAAGTTTTATCTGTAAATATTCTTTCTTTATAAAATCTTTAGCTTTGAACTAGTTTTTATCTTAATACACACTGGATTTTCTGACTTGTGATGACCCAATATAAACTTTACAGATTCAAATTAGGAAGAGATTAATATCAAAGGAGAGGAGTTAGGTACTTAGTTAATAACCTTTCACTATTAAAGATAGAGAGACACAATATTCTTGGTAAGAAGTTATATCTTCCCTTCAGAGTACAGTAACAGATAAAAAAAAAAAAAAAAAAAAAAAAAAAAAATATTAACCAGTCAGCTTTTCGAAGTAACAAAATAAAAGGCATTGGATGAAGATAACAGATTAGACCAACTGAAGCCTTGGAGTAACAATATAGCAGGCAACTGAAAAAAAGAAAAAAATTATCTACTAAATCTATTCATTCTGAGATGTGTAAATTATAAAGTTTTCAACCACTACTTTAATTTTTCCCTGTATTGATGTACAATCTGATTTACAAAGCAGTTGCCCAGTTGCCATTTCTGACTACTTAATAAAAACATCAGCAAAAAAATAGTCCTACATATTTTTACAGATGATTTTAATGAACGGGTCTGATGTGCAAGTCAAGATTTCTTGCAGTGATATGACCCTCAGCTTGTCTAGTAAAGAGTAGTATGGAAAAAAGCCAACTGAGATAAATGATAATAGCAGAGCTAGAATATATCTCACTTGCCTAATTTATCTCCAGTCCCATTAAGCAACTAAATCACTAAAGGTCTTTTTACCCTGGGGAAAAAAAAAAAAAAAAAAAAGATTGTTAGGGGGGGAGTTGAATCTTTCTTCTCTTTCCACAATTTTCAAATCACTTTTCCCAAGTAAATCTTTTCCTCCAGCTGCCTTTTTAATTCCTTCTTTGTTATTTTTTGAGGAAAAAGGTATTCACTGAACAAATTAATATTTAATTAACTTTTGCCCAGGTAAGATTTTGGTACAATGTGGAACTGAGAATAAGCATAAAATAAAACACTTGTTTCAACCCCATCTTTGAGAATTTTGCAGGCACGTTGGATTCTCTCTTTTTATCCTTTATTCCAATCATTTTGCTAAACAAAACACTGTCATTTCAAAAGGTGCTTGTACACCTTTTGTACCTATTTGTACCTAATGTGTACATATTTGTACATACACAACTTGAAACATATACTCAGTCTATGTGCATAAATGTAGTAATGGACTTTATAATGTATTAAGAAGAAAATGGACTTCAAAGATTTGAGATGACTGGTGGCATAATGTGGGAACTTTCTGCTGCCAGGAAGCTCTTGGGACTTTGGTGCCAGCTATAGTCCTAATACCTCAGTAAGAAAAGGCAAGCATTATAGACAATACCTTTTATTAGACTACCTAGCACAGATGGAAACAATAAGAATATTTCTGAATGAAACCCCCCCTTGTCCTGAAGATCTGCCCCCCAAGGTAGACTGTGTCTGAAAATGTTTCTTTTTCCAAATATACTTTTTTTTTTTTCTTTTCTTTTTTTTTTCTGATAAAGATATTATCTCCACTAACAAGCTCCACCTTGCCCATGTCCTTAGGGCTATTATGACTGTGCAAGCAGTGCAAGCAAAGCAAAGAAAGCAAGGCACATGGCTGGTCCTCCTGCCCCAAGGTCTTGCACAGTAATAGGTGTCAAAGCAGAGTGATAGCTCCCGCTCAGGAACTTCTCTAACTTCTCATAGGGCCTGGCTTACATCATCTGGGATATTCAAGCAGCCTATGTCTATTTAGCCTATTTAGGACTCTTAACCGAAATCATGGGGGAAAAAAGTTTGTTATTGTCATGTGCTCCTTTGGTACCACAGCTTCCTCCATGTTGCATGGTTACGCTGATTCCCCAAGCAGTGCGGTGAAGGTGCAGCAGCAGGAGCTCTCTCATGCACAGCTCTCGTATCCAGAGTAACTACTGATGTCTTTGGAATCCCTTTGTTTAGATCCAGGACTGTAAAGGTGCTTTAATTTTACTGTAGACTATGATCAGCTAAGAGGAAAACAGGCCTTAGTTCTAACTAACCTAATATTTCCTTTTTATTATTAGAATAGTATTATTTTTAATAAAGTAACAGATAAAATATAAACACAATATATTACATATTGTAAAAATGTAGCTGCATAAAATCCACTTTTTTTCTGGTGCAGTAAAAATTGTATTGACAATAAAATATAAGAAATATTATGGGCAAAGAAATAAAGGCAATTAAGAGGTTTTATATTTAGAATAGTAAAGAGATGCTTAAAGAATCTACTCTTCCATCTTGTCCTTCTGATGCTTAGGTGGAACATCTGATATATTATGCGTTTTATTTTATGGTTAATTTTTACAACCTCTACTAAAATGTACTGTATTATCATGCCATTTGAATTCTGTGAAGTGTACCGGTCTGAAAAAGAGCTGCTGTGTCTGATCATAAATTTGCAAGTTGTTAGATCCTGAAAGAGCACTGCTTTTAAATTTAGTCCTGCTGACTGTAGAAGTTCTCCCTGTAACATTATCCTGAGGTGACGTACTTTCTCATTGCTTTATAGAGCAACCCTTAGAATAATGCCTGCATTAAAGTCGCTGATAAAGTTTTGCTGTTCAAGTAAATATTGTACACAATTGCTCATTAAATGGCAACCATTCCGTAAGAAAATAACCTAAGTAGAGAAATGTCAGCCAATACTTAAATTTTTTTCAGGGTATTTATCTTCTTGAAGCTCTACATTTGTTAAGGGCTATAGTGATTTACTGGAGTTTTCCTGTTGTTTTACTCTCTTATTCCAAAGATGCTA